TCCTAGACACTGGAGCTTTAAGTTGGATATTTAGTTCAGCTCTTGCTCTTTGGAGGTGGAATACACTGGAGATTATTTTTGACCAATTTTGCAAGGTCTTCAGTGAGCACCAGCTCCAGTGAATCAGGTGCCGGGCAGATGTCATCAGCATAGATGAATCCCTCAGGAGAATCTTCTGTGGTGGAGACGAGGTCGTACATCTCACTTACCGACGTCTGAAGTTTTTTCAATGTCCTCCTGGATCCACATTCTTCATATTTTAAAGTCATGTATCAGAAATTCTGTCATCCAAATTTGTATGTAATGTGATGTTGTTGGTTTTGTTCTGTACACTCGGAGAGGGATTCCTCCTCTGCGACTTATCCTGTGGTTTCTAGGGTTTTTTTGGAGAGTTTTTCTTTACCCACATCAAGGATCTAAGGGCAGAGGGTGCTGAGATTGTAAAGCCCCCTGAGATAAATTGTGATTTGGGGTGTACATATAAAATTTGACTTGGCTTTCCCAGAGTCAAGAGTCCTGGTCGGAGCCACTGTTAATCACCTCTGTACTGTGTTCCCTGTTGTCAAACTAGCCTCCAATGGTCTCAGAGGCTGGATTCAATTCTGGTCAGAGGGTATCAGGACAGGACTTGTAACCGGCTTGTTTCTAGCGTTGTCTTTGTTGTGTTTTGATGAAGAGGCCCAGACCAGGATATCTTTGGAGGCGATCTCTGTTTATTCTGACAAAAGGTGTAAATAACAACAAAATCCTCCGGTCAGTTGTTATCAACTTGAGCTCCTCTCCCAAGGAGTACAACAGCAAAAGGGGAGAGGCAAAAGCGTGAGACACATTTATAGGGGGGACCCACGAAAGTGAACGTCGGGGTACAGAAACTGAGTCTCAAACGTTCCACATATTGGCTCAGGAGGCCGGACATGTCAGGTTATAACTGTTAAAACAGATTTTGTGTAATTATAATACTACATATTACTGTTGTATATTTGACTCTGTTACACATATCACTGCTGTATAATTGACTCTGTTACATAGCATTAGTCATGACACACTCTGTTCAGTAAACAGAGAACGTCACACCGAGTTCCTTGCTTCTCAGCACACATTCTACTCTCAGAGTCTTGGTCGGAGCCACTGTCAACTTACTCTGTACTATATTCCCAGTCGTCAAACTGCCCTCTGTCTGCCACACAAGCTGTGTTCGATCCAAGTCCGACTGTGTTCACTGAGGCCCCATTTCAACCAAATCAGTTCTGGTTTGTGAACCAAGGTCATTGAAGATTTGTTGAACCTTAATGCAAATGAACCAGCCGGTGGTTCCACTAATTTTGAGTGGAACCACTGTAATTGGACGCGTCATCAACAGAGGGCGCTGCACAATGCACAATGAATTGTAGAATATGACACACTCCAAACCAATTAATTTTTGGTCGAAAAACACTTGGTTGATCTGGAACAGAGCCAGTTCTGTGTTGGTGGAAAAGGCCTATGAGAGGCTGCTGAGCCCGGTTCAGTTGCCCAAATGAGTCCAACAGTCAACAATCTTGCATTTCGTTGCAGCCATACAACACTTTTTTCGTCTTCAGAAAGACCACGCCCCCTTTTGGGTGAAACCAGCTGTAAAAGTTCATGCTGCCGTGTCACATTTTACTTATCAAACAATAAAAAAATTGAATGTGAGCAGATTGTGTCTGTAGATTGAAGAGAATCAGTCTCACTGATGGTGGAAATAAAGGTTTTACTTCCTTAAAACAGACGTTTTTTGAATGGAGTTTGGTGTGACAGTGTGGAGCAGAGGGGATTTGAACCTTACTAATTCCCATAAACTGAGCTGACCTACCTTCTAATAATGAACCTTGTAAACAGCAGAAAGAAACAGGAAGTGGACATAAACCCTCCTGTTTTCTTCTTCTGTGGGCTCGTAGTAAAAGGTTGATTATTAAACTCAAACCATGGAATTAGTTTACAGTAACGTCACATTGGACAGACAGACAGAAACAGAGACAGATGGCAGAAATATGAGATTTAATAAGGTAGCTGCATATGTCAGGACTCACCAATAACTATTTCTGCATCTTCTTTGAAACGATGCTGATTGTTGATTGAAAATGACACAACATAATTGTTTGCCTTCCCAGCTGTAGGATTTATGCTCCTAATAGCTAAAAAGCAATTTTATTGTTTTATTTTATGATATTAAAGTTTTTCAAATTACAGGACTGCTTTCACCCAAAAGAAGGCGGGGCTTAACACAAGGCCAAAGTACCTGGATACGCTGATACGTTTTGAGTTAAAATACTTTGTGAATTCCTCTCAGATCAATAACCTTCAAGGCAGAACTGATACAACCAGTAATTCTCCAGAGTTTCTCCAAACTCCAAAGGTAAGAGCTGAGGACATTTTGGCAACATGATCCCTGAAGAACTTTGTAGGATTTGGGGGCTTTTCTTCAGGATAACCTCCAAAACTCGGGCTATTATTTTTCCCTTTTTAACCTGTAAATGTTTACAAGTTTTTGGGGTTTTTAAGTCTTTATGGTTTTATTTTCAGGATTTAAGGATTTATGGTCTGTCAGGTTTAAGGACCCCAAAACCAGAGCCAGTTCCTCCCCCTGAGGAGTATTTAGACCTGTAAAGGCCCTGGAGAGGTTTTTGTCAAGGCTTCAGGCTGATTTCACTCACTGTGGTACGTCGTAGACACGGTGAAAAACTGTCGTACAAAAACTGTTGAACTGTTCTCTATAGGAGACGCTCAGCAGCAGCAGCTGAACATGGTTGAGGGTTTTCCCATCAACCACCTGTGGCTTGTTTGAAGAGAGGAGGGTTTTTATCTGATGGGATTCAACAGCAGCGTGAAAAAACCCAAACCACTGAGAGTCTGTGACGTCTGCAGACACAGCAGAGACCCATCTGATGACGTGAACTGATGAAATAATGATGTTTCTAAATCAGGCGTCAGTCGAGAACGTTCAAATTTAAAGAACAAATCTGTAGTTTCTCATTCTCAGTCTTTTTGGGTAGGAGTCAATTAGCATGGCACATCTTGACTTGGCAATATTTGCCCACTCTTCTTTACAAAAGCGCTCCAAATCTGTCAGATTGCGAGGGCATCGACTGTGTACAGCCCTCTTCAGATCATCCCACAGATGTTGAATGCGATTCAGGTCTGGGCTCTGGCTGGGCCGTTCCAAAACGTTGATCTTCTGGTGAAGCCGTGCTTTTGTTGATTTGGATGTACATTTTGGGTCGTTGTCGTGCTGAAAGGTGAAATTTCTTCATCTTCAGCATTCTAACGGAAGCCTGAAGGTTTTGTGCCAAAATTGACTGATATTCAGAACTGTTCATAATTCCTTCCACCTTGAATAAGGCCCCAGTTCCAGCTGAAGAAAAACAGCCCCAAAGCATGATGCTGCCACCACCATGCTTCACTGTGGGTACGGTGTTCTTCGGATGATGTGCAGTGTTGTTTTTGCACCAAACATATAAAAAATTCAACCGTAGTTTCATCAGACCATAACACATTTTCCCACATGCTTTTGGGAGACTTCATGTATTTTTTTGCAAAATTTAGCCGGGCTTGGATGTTTTTCTTTGAAAGAAAAAGCTCGCCACCCTACCCCATAGTCCAAACGTATGAAGAATACGGGAGATTGTTGTCACATGTAGTACACAGCTCCTTTAATGTTGCTTTAGGCCTCTTGGAAGCCTCCCTGGGTGTGCACACTTATGCAACCAGTTTTTTTCTCGTCTTTTCATCAGTTTTGGAGGGGCGTGGAGTTCTTCGTAAGGTCACTGTTGTGCCATATTTTCTCCACTTGATGACGACTGTCTTCATGTGCTCCATGGTATCTGTAATGCCTTGGAAATTATTTTGTACCCTTCTCCTGACTGATACCTTTTAACAATAAGATCCCTCTGATGTTTTGGAAGCTCTCTGTGGACCATGGCTTTTGGTCTGAGATGCAACTGAAAAAATGTCAGGAAAGTCCTACTGGAACAGCTGAACTTTATTTGGGATTAATCCGAGTCACTTTAAATGATGGCAGGTGTGTACTGACTACTGTTTAACATGGGTTTGAATGTGATTGGTCAATTCTGAACACAGCCACATCCCCAGTTATAAGAGCCTGTGCACACTTATGCAACCAGCTTATTGTAAGTTTTTATTTTTCCACCTAAAAGATTTCAGTTTGTTTTTAATTGAATTGTTCACATTAAAGGTGGAAAAAGTTTGGACATGATTAATCTTTGTCTCATTTTTTTACATCACAAAAACCTGGCATTTTAACGGGTGTAGACTTTTTATATCCACAGTATGTTCTATATGTAGTAGATTCAATCAATAATCTATAATCAATAAACAGTGTATACACTCTAGAGCTATGTTCTATATGGAGTTAATTCAATCAATAATCTATAATCAATAAACTGTATAAACTCTAGAGCTATGTTCTATATGGAGTTAATTCAATCAATAATCTATAATCAATAAACTGTATAAACTCTAGAGCTATGTTCTATATGGAGCTGATTCAATCAATAATCTATAATCAATAATTAATGTATACACTCTAGAGCTATGTTCTATATGGAGCTGATTCAATCAATAATCAATAATCAGTGGTGTCCCCTTTGTGTCTGTGTCAGCGTTCTTAAAGGGAGTTTGGTGCAGGGAGCTTTTAGTTGGATTCAGACTGCTAAAGTCTGATCAGGTTGATTAATGCTTTAATAATGAGAGTATTGATTATTGATCAGGCTGCACTGTAGATGGCTGACCTTAGTGTGCCTGTTTTTAAACTACTTTCCTAATTAAACACAATGTTATTAATACGTTGTATAATGACGTAAGGTGTGTTATTAATGAACAGTGTGTGTGTGTGTGTGTGTGTGTGTGTGTGTGTGTGTGTGTGTGTGTGTGTGTGTGTGTGTGTGTGTGTGTGTGTGTGTATAGAGTCCGAGAGGAAGGATCCGACCCGGCTGTGAAAGGAGAAATAAAGAGAGGCGGCG